TGGCTTTTATACTGTGCTACTACATTTTATATTTCTTACAAAACGTGTCATTTAAAGATTTTCACTCATCAAACAATCGGTGTCATTCCTACTGCACAGTACATCACAATTTCATATCACACGTCTTAATTTATCAGATAGCACATTTTATCTGTTTTTAAAGAAATTATGCTTAGTTTTAATTTATCATAATAATGCAAGTCTGGATATAATAATTAACTTTAGTTTCAGTCGACATCTGCCTTGTCTCCTGATTGTGAATGAATGTAAAGCCGCATTTTATATTTTTTATTTTTATTTTATTTTCTTATTAAAAATGATTCAGTGTATAGTTTTAGTCCCCAGTTTTCAATTACATTTTCCATCCTGGTAATCTTTTGTATGGATCCCCTAAAGGGACATAGGAAAGAAAATATTTCTGTGCTTTTGCATTTAAAGTGATCATGAACATTTTTTTAGCGATATTTCCTGAGGTGCACTTATAGAATGATTCATAAAAAATGGTCATAATTTAGAAATAAAATGCCATTTTCTACCGATTTAAAGTAGTGATGGGTTGATTGATGATTAAAAAAAAATCGATTTCTAAGTCTCATGGCCCTCTATCAGAATCCAGAGTATCAAGAAGATAAGAGAAACTCAAAATTTCAACCCCCCCCCCCCAAAAAAAAAAAAAAAATCTTTTTTTTTATCGATGCGAAAAAAAAAGTTTCCCCAATCTTCTCAAAACTCTCGAAAAGATCAGAGATACTCAAAGTTTTGACCCCCCCCCAAAAAAACAAAAAAAAAAACCACAGTGTTACTACCCCTTTTGTTTGTTTGTTTTTTGGTGCGAAAAAAAGTTTCTCCAATCTTCTTGAAACTCTGGATTCTGATAGAGGGCCATGAGATTTAAACCTGAGTGCAAAAATGGAGGCTCTTTACCCTTCCAGAGCTGAGATATCGAAATTCAAAATTTCGACCCGAAAAAAAACGACAGTGTTACCCCTTTCGTTTTTTTCTGTTTTCGGGTGAAAAATTAAGTTTCTCCAATCTTCTCAAAACTCTGGATTATGATAGAGGGCTGTTAGACTTTGACCTGAGTGCAAAAATGGATGATCTAGACCCTTCCAGAGCTGAGATATCAAAATTCAAAATTTCGACCCGAAAAAAAAACGACAGTGTTACCCCTTTCGTTTTTTTCCATTTTCGGGCGAAAAATTAAGTTTCTCCAATCTTCTCAAAACTCTGGATTATGATAGAGGGCCATGAAACTTTGACCTGAGTGCAAAAATGGAGGCTCTAGACCCTTCCAGAGCTGAGATATCGAAACTCAAAATTTCGACCCGAAAAAAAAACGACAGTGTTACCCCTTTCGTTTTTTTCTGTTTTAGGGTGAAAAATTAAGTTTCTCCAATCTTCTCAAAACTCTGGATTATGATAGAGGGCTGTGAGACTTTGACCTGAGTGCAAAAATGGATGATCTAGACCCTTCCAGAGCTGAGATATCTAAATTCAAAATTTCGACCCGAAAAAAAAAACGACAGTGTTACCCCTTTCGTTTTTTTCCATTTTCGGGCGAAAAATTAAGTTTCTCCAATCTTCTCAAAACTCTGGATTATGATAGAGGGCTGTGAGACTTTGACCTGAGTGCAAAAATGGATGATCTAGACCCTTCCAGAGCTGAGATATCAAAATTCAAAATTTCGACCCGAAAAAAAAAACGACAGTGTTACCCCTTTCGTTTTTTTCATTTTCGGGCGAAAAATTAAGTTTCTCCAATCTTCTCAAAACTCTGGATTCTGATAGAAGGCCACGAGACTTTGACCTGAGTGCAAAAATGGAGGCTCTAGACCCTTCCAGAGCTGAGATATCAAAATTCAAAATTTCGACCCGAAAAAAAAAACGACAGTGTTACCCCTTTCGTTTTTTTCCATTTTCGGGCGAAAAATTAAGTTTCTCCAATCTTCTCAAAACTCTGGATTATGATAGAGGGCCGCGAGACTTTGACCTGAGTGCAAAAATGGAGGCTCTAGATCCTTCCAGAGCTGAGATATCGAAACTCAAAATTTCGACCCGAAAAAAAACGACAGTGTTACCCCTTTCGTTTTTTTCTGTTTTCGGGTGAAAAATTAAGTTTCTCCAATCTTCTCAAAACTCTGGATAATGATAGAGGGCTGTTAGACTTTGACCTGAGTGCAAAAATGGAGGCTCTAGACCCTTCCAGAGCTGAGATATCAAAATTCAAAATTTCGACCCGAAAAAAAAAACGACAGTGTTACCCCTTTTGTTTTTTTCCATTTTCGGGCGAAAAATTAAGTTTCTCCAATCTTCTCAAAACTCTGGATTATGATAGAGGGCCATGAAACTTTGACCTGAGTGCAAAAATGGAGGCTCTAGACCCTTCCAGAGCTGAGATATCGAAACTCAAAATTTCGACCCGAAAAAAAAACGACAGTGTTACCCCTTTCATTTTTTTCCATTTTCGGGCGAAAAATTAAGTTTCTCCAATCTTCTCAAAACTCTGGATTATGATAGAGGGCTGTGAGACTTTGACCTGAGTGCAAAAATGGATGATCTAGACCCTTCCAGAGCTGAGATATCAAAATTCAAAATTTCGACCCGAAAAAAAAACGACAGTGTTACCCCTTTCGTTTTTTTTCCATTTTCGGGCGAAAAATTAAGTTTCTCCAATCTTCTCAAAACTCTGGATTCTGAAAGAAGGCCACGAGACTTTGACCTGAGTGCAAAAATGGAGGCTCTAGACCCTTCCAGAGCTGAGATATCAAAATTCAAAATTTCGACCCGAAAAAAAAAACGACAGTGTTACCCCTTTCGTTTTTTTCATTTTCGGGCGAAAAATTAAGTTTCTCCAATCTTCTCAAAACTCTGGATTATGATAGAGGGCCACGAAACTTTGACCTGAGTGCAAAAATGGAGGCTCTAGACCCTTCCAGAGCTGAGATATCGAAACTCAAAATTTCGACCCGAAAAAAAAAACGACAGTGTTACCCCTTTCGTTTTTTTCTGTTTTCGGGTGAAAAATTAAGTTTCTCCAATCTTCTCAAAACTCTGGATTATGATAGAGGGCTGTGAGACTTTGACCTGAGTGCAAAAATGGATGCTCTAGACCCTTCCAGAGCTGAGATATCAAAATTCAAAATTTCGACCCGAAAAAAAAAACGACAGTGTTACCCCTTTCGTTTTTTTCCATTTTCGGGCGAAAAATTAAGTTTCTCCAATCTTCTCAAAACTCTGGATTCTGATAGAGGGCCACGAGACTTTGACCTGAGTGCAAAAATGGAGGCTCTAGACCCTTCCAGAGCTGAGATATCAAAATTCAAAATTTCGACCCGAAAAAAAAAACGACAGTGTTACCCCTTTCGTTTTTTTCCATTTTCGGGCGAAAAATTAAGTTTCTCCAATCTTCTCAAAACTCTGGATTATGATAGAGGGCCACGAAACTTTGACCTGAGTGCAAAAATGGAGGCTCTAGACCCTTCCAGAGCTGAGATATCGAAACTCAAAATTTCGACCCGAAAAAAAAACGACAGTGTTACCCCTTTCGTTTTTTTCTGTTTTCGGGTGAAAAATTAAGTTTCTCCAATCTTCTCAAAACTCTGGATTATGATAGAGGGCTGTGAGACTTTGACCTGAATGCAAAATGGATGATCTAGACCCTTCCAGAGCTGAGATATCTAAATTCAAAATTTCGACCCGAAAAAAAAACGACAGTGTTACCCCTTTCGTTTTTTTCCATTTTCGGGCGAAAAATTAAGTTTCTCCAATCTTCTCAAAACTCTGGATTATGATAGAGGGCTGTGAGACTTTGACCTGAGTGCAAAAATGGAGGCTCTAGACCCTTCCAGAGCTGAGATATAAAAATTCAAAATTTCGACCCGAAAAAAAACCGACAGTGTTACCCCTTTCGTTTTTTTCCATTTTCGGGCGAAAAATTAAGTTTCTCCAATCTTCTCAAAACTCTGGATTATGATAGAGGGCCACGAAACTTTGACCTGAGTGCAAAAATGGAGGCTCTAGACCCTTCCAGAGCTGAGATATCAAAATTAAAATTTCGACCCAAAAAAAAACGACAGTGTTACCCCTTTCGTTTTTTTCCATTTTCGGGCGAAAAATTAAGTTTCTCCAATCTTCTCAAAACTCTGGTTTATGATAGAGGGCCACGAAACTTTGACCTGAGTGCAAAAATGGAGGCTCTAGACCCTTCCAGAGCTGAGATATCGAAACTCAAAATTTCGACCCGAAAAAAAAAAAACGACAGTGTTACCCCTTTCGTTTTTTTCTGTTTTCGGGTGAAAAATTAAGTTTCTCCAATCTTCTCAAAACTCTGGATTATGATAGAGGGCTGTGAGACTTTGACCTGAGTGCAAAAATGGATGATCTAGACCCTTCCAGAGCTGAGATATCGAAATTCAAAATTTCGACCCAAAAAAAAAACGACAGTGTTACCCTTTCGTTTTTTTCATTTCGGGCGACAAATTAAGTTTCTCCAATCTTCTC